ATAGATAAAGATAAATTTGTTATTAGCTGCGGCATAGCAGCTCATAGCTCTATCATCTCTTGACCGATTTGAGATCTAATTACAGTTTTGGACTCGGGAGGTCAAACCCTTTCGAATGATGTATTTGACCATGCCTAAGGTCGCATAGATTAATTTTCTCTAATCCTGCCTAAAGGAATTTCAATTTTTCGAGTAGGCTAATAGAGATCCTAATGAGTAATACAATTGAATCGGTTATACGAGCACCTCACACTTGGTATTGCTGGTGCACAAAAATATAGCTAATAAAAGAAAAAAAAAGTATCATAGATTAATTTACAAAACTTTGAATCATCAAAACTTTTATTATTACTATTATTATTTTAAAATATTTTGCTGATTTTACACCAGTGTTAAATTAAAATAAACATGGATTTGAGCTTAATGACAGAGCTATTACTTTCACTTTTATCAACTGAAGTTAACCTTCAAACAGTTTTAGTATATCTTTGAGTGTTAATAACAATATTCCACAGGCCTAAAAACTCTCAGAACGAAAACAATGTCATAACTGCTATCAAGTGAGACAAAATACACTAGTGCTTTGTTTTGGAAATTTTGAACCAGTTTTACTAGAAAGAAGATAGCTAGTCAACAATATCTACTGCCAACTCTTGAACTACACTAACTGGATAGTGGAATTTAATAATTGTCACTTTTACAATGTACTCACAACACCAAAGTGCAGGGATATGGTGTATTGGAATATGAACCTCACACCCTAGGATTCACGGGTGTATACACTCTACTAAGCCACACAAATCAAACTAAAAAATATATACATAAGAACTTAAACAAATAATTAAAGCATATAAATAAGACTAACAGTTGATGGCTTACAATAGTATAAAACAACAAGAATATTAAAGTGTAGTACTTAAATAAGGCAATTATATGTGACTTTAAAGAGTTTATCTACAGAGAATGTTACAAAACTATGCTGAATTTTTGGTTGCTTTAAAAATGCAAGTTTATGTAAAGATAAAATATATATAAATGGTACCGCAAGTGCTGGTATGTAAGATGCATCATTACATTTTCTTATACAACTTTTAACACAGGCCTAATATTACACAGCTGTAGAGCGATCTGATTTCAAACAATTCACAGAGTTATGTAGTCACAGGCAGCAATTTATTTAAACATGAAGTTTTAACTTGTAATAGTTCTTATCTTTTTCTTAAAACAATAAAAGGAACTTTTTATGTCATTTTTGAATTAAAAAATGAATTAATTAATTATAGTAAATACAAGGTAATGTATCTGGTTTATCATAAATTCAATCACACATTTAATATACCTTGGCATAGTGGAAAAAATTCACTCAAGCTATCGAGTTAGTACTCTATTCCTGTGTAGTAAGGCTAATAGAATTTTAGGATGTATTTATAAACACACTGATTATTAATCACTTGTTAGGCCTCACTTGGAATACTGTGTACAGTTTTTGGTCATTTCATCTGAGAAAGAGTATTGACCAATTGGAAAGGGTTCAGAGGAGGGTTACTGAAGTGATTTTGAAAAGGAAATTGTTATCTTATGGGAATAAGTTTAGATCTTAACCTATTTTAAGGCAATCAATAAGATAAAGGCCTCTGCTTTCTTTGTGCTGAATTATGAAGATAATAGGATGACAGGACACAAGTTTGAGATTTACAAAAAGACAGGCTAGGCTCCAGTTTAGGCAGTTTCATTTTTCTGAAATGAGTTACTATGAACAACAGTTGAAGCCAGCACTTTACAAGAGATTAAGAGGTGAATAAAAAATTTTAAAAAAAACTTCAATTTTTGACTTTTCTTTCTTGGGGATGGATGTGTAGGGGCAGTGTTGAAGGAACAAATGGTCTCTTGTTATGTACAAGTTGTACTAATTACAAGACTTGAATATAAATTTACTTCAATTATAATATATAAAAAAAGTATGTATTATTATAGGCATAATAATACATAGAAAATTTCAAAAACAAAATAAAACACTGAATGAAAATTAAAAATAAAAGTCACGAACTACTGTACCTTACTGGTGACAAGATTTCATATTTTTTTTATACTTATGACTTACTTGTCGTGGTAAATAGCCTATATATCTATGTTAATCAGTAACCTTATTCTAGTGCTAGATACTAATTAGTAACTGTCCTTTCCTATGTTTTGACTTCTAATCTGCTGCCATATTTAGGGACGACTTTCTGAGAAGTGCTATTACCATGTGCTGGTAGAGGCTGGAATTCAATCCTGGGCCTCCTTAATAGAAGACTAGTGTGTTATCCACTCAATTCGGGTCTCCCCCTATTAGAACTTGAATCAACTAACAATTTGTATTGTTCCTAGAACCACAAATTATGCTAAGAAAGCCAAAACACTAAACTAGAATTATAAGGGGAAACAAATTATATACTCACTTTTAATTTTTCATTGTCTTTCTCTGAAGAAATATCAGACTGACTAGAAATTTGTAAGGAGCCTGATTCATGGTTTTCTTTCTTTTCTGTATCATCCCTCTTTTCTCTACTAGAACCTTTCTTGTCCTTGAATGACTCACTGGCCACATTTGATTTTTCTGATTCTGACCTCCCAGGAGATTTTGACAGTGGTGGAGCTAATGGCCCAAGCATCTTTCTGTTTTTCCATTCTTCCTCTTCCTTTTTCAATTGTGCTATTTTTTCTTGTATTTGTTTCTGTAGCATTGTCTTATGATCAGCTGACTGTGGTTTCTTTTCTGTCAAGTTTACCTCTGTAGATATTTTTTCATTTTTTTCCTGTTCTGTTTTTGCTCCTTGATTATTCTCTTTGACAGTTGTTGATTGTTCTATTTCACTTTTTTGCTTATTTTTCTCTGCTTTATCTGTTTGTTTAAAGAAATTTCATTATAATTTATCACTGTCATTGATAATTACAAAAAATATTTTAATTCATAAACATGCAATGTAATATTTTTCTATTTTCTGAAGGAATATCTAATGTTCAGAGACTATTTTTAAATATTGTGTTCTGACTTATTTATGACTCAAACTAATAACAACCATGCATATATGGATTTCAGCAAAGACTATTAAATTCAATATACAAGACCCTAAGATGTAAACAGAAAGCATTTTTATGTTGTTACACAATCATTTAAAGTAAAAATCAAGCTACTGGCCTGAAACAGATAAGCATCTGAAAATAACAAACATTTACTTCTGTTTGAAAACTAAATACGTCAGCAAAACAGATGTCAAGAAGGAGTCTTTATTACAAATTGGGTTCCCAAATTCTTCAAACAAGTAATTTTGTGAAACTATCATATCAGTTTTAGACAACAGCACCAAGTTAACTAAGAAGCTACAGCCATAACAAGTGTCTTATAGTCTTGCTTTCACATATAATTAACCTTGGCTGTCACCGTGTAACTGGGGTTGTTTGTTTATTGTGGTATTCTTAGATTAAAAACTTAAGAGAATAGGCAGATTTAACAATCAATGATAGAGAGGAGTTATGAGATATTTGGTCATAGAAGGTTTCAAATGTCGAGTGTTTGGTTTCTTTTAAATGTATAAAAAACAGGATAGTCCTTTAAGGTGCTCTTTGATCCTTATGTTCAGTTTTCTTTCAGTTTAACTTCACTAAAATCATTCAAATGCATCACATTTGATTTAATATATTATTCCTTTGGTTTCCTTTTCTTTTGGATAATGTTTTCCAATGATAATTTTAACTTTCATTCTTGTTTTTTTTTATACTAGCAGTTTTAATTTTTGATAAGACATTTCAATCAGGCACAATTTTCGTTAACATAGGTCTAACAGGATGCTTGTTAGTGTGCAGCCAACTTAAAAGATGAAAGTAATGGGATCTAGTTCATTGAAAAAATTACATTGTGATTATGAGTTTAAAAAGTTATATGAATGGGAAGGTTTGTTGACTTTGAGACAAAAGGAGTTCTAGCAAGAACAGTACCTGTTACAAAGCACAACACTGAACATAACCAAGTCTATACTGCTCAGCTACCTTCCAGGGAATATATTCAGCTATACAACTTCCACACTGGTACATACATGTACGACCTGTGGACCTCTCTTACATCTAAGCTGTTTCTTACTAGATTTTTTTTTTAATATTACTAGTGTTTTTTTTTAGAATAAATGGAGACACTTAGAGATAATGGGCCAGATTTATCAAGGTCTTTGATAAATGTGCATTCTTTTCTCCAAAAGTTAAAATAAACTATTAAAGCTACAAAATTAGTACCAAAATATATTCCAACTTCCATTTCTGCACTGCTTTATGGAGCCTTCCCTACAAACAATCTTTTACTTACAGAATTTTCTGCACATCCCAAAGCATAGGGTTATATCTGATAAGAAACTATTATCCTTGAATATGTAGCGAGCAATGTCTTGTTTTTCCACCAATTTTCCTTCTGTATCAATGTTTTTTTTACTAAAGCTCTTTGTTGTCTGATAAGAAATGTTATAATTTTCCTATACTGAAAATGTATTTCCGATAGGTACTTCACTCCGTTCACAAGATTAGCTATTCTCATTCATTGTTGCCCTTTTTTATCATGCATGCCACAAGCCTTCTGCATCCCCCCATTGGAATCAAATGATTCCAATGTGTCTCTCATGCAAATCATCATGTGTCACTTCTCCACCAATAAGAAAATAGTACACTCATGTGACTTATGCGACTCCCTTTATGCGCCTCTACCGAACTAGCACTTCAAAGTTTGGCAGACGATGGAAGCACTGGAAATGAGTGGGGAGGAAGGGTGGGAAGTGTGAGTGGAGAGAAGTACCTATCAGAAATACATTTCCTGTATAAGAAAATTAAAATTTCCAATACAGTAGGGAAGAACAGATGTACCCCCAAAAATGTCCGAAGGATACCACTGTAGATGTAGAGTCAGATCCAAAGAAGGGTACCGCACCACTTCACAAGAACTCCTTTATTACATATGTGTTCAGGTTAACAAGGTTTTACTGTATCCTGTTAACTCAATAATGCTTGAAAATTCATTGCATGAAAAAAAAAGCAGTGGAAATTTAAAATTTATCTCAAGGTAAATTCCCACTTCACTTTTCACAGCCCAAGAGATGACTGTTACAGGTAGCATTTACATTAATTCTCTGGGGTTTTGTAATCCGGTCAAGATGTTCTATTTGGTTTTGGGATAGTAAAGCTTTGCTGGAAACATCTTACAGCTAACATGTTAGAGCTCAACACTAAAAAACTAGCCAATTTTGATAACTGGTGATAAAATGTGGTGTGTGTAAAAAGCCATTTTTGTGAAACCTCAGATTCATAAATTTTAAACACTTAGCTATGAGATTAAGTTCAATATATTATATGGAAAATAAAAAATATTAAGAATCATACTTAAAAAATAAAATAGAAGTGACAACATCATATTGGTAAACTATAAGTATGTTTGTCTCAAAGTACTACAACTCAAAACTATAAAGAACCCACAAATAATACACATAAACTGACATATATTACAATAAGTATTATTTAAATAAAGTATAAAGTCATAAACATTCTAACTTCATCAGCTGCAACTGATATAAAATTAGGAAATGGAAAATACAAACTTTGTTTATATTACATAAATAAATAAATTTGTATTTCAGAATTTTCAGTCAAAACAAACAAATAGTGCCTTGGTATATTTCAATTACTACATTTCAAGTTACTGCCTTCCAAAGGTTATTAGGTTTCTTATTTTGTGACTTATTGCTCTTGTAATAGTTATTTTAGAAACATGTTAAAATAAATCATACTTAGAATATATAAAAGTGATCAAGAATATTGTTAAAATTAACTTTGCAGCTAAAATGATATTTTCATTACATTTTCTAAACTTACTAATTTCAAGTTTTTGTGCTTTCATTTGGCGCATCTGGTCTCTCCTCTCTAACAACTGCTTTTTCCATTCTTGCCACTGTTCCTCATACCGTGCAAATGCCTCCTTGTCAGGGTGGTTTTTATTCTGTTCTTTCCAATTTTCAAACTCTCGCTGCCACTCTAAAAACTCTCTTTCAAATTCTTGTTCTTCTGGATCCAGTTCCATAAGTTTAAGTTCTTCATTTACATGAATCTATCAGAAATAATCAAAAGATCACATCAAAGCCTTGACCATAAAACTAGAACATGAAATAAAAAAGGAGTTTAATACAAATTTCATTGATTTACATGTACCACTTTCATTCACAAGCACTTAGGCATCTCTATAAAATGCCATATATTCATCCAAATATGTATAATTTATATACAATTAAACGGAGTATAATGCTAAAATAATTACACAATAAATAACCAGCCCTAAAAAGACTACATGTTTCAGTGTTCTGAAAAAATGTATATATATGTTTTGCACAAGTGCCATTTTAAGTTATGTATACTTTATTATTAACAGTTTGTGGACAGCATATTCTTCTGAAGAATGCATCATGATTCACTCCAAGGGCCTCATTTCAATGATGTATTACCACCTTTGGAGTTAACTATACAGCCAATCAACAATTTGTATGTTGTTAAGCACAAAGCTACACAATAAGCTTTCTGTGCTGTGCCCACCATGGATATCAAAACCAAATTTTTAGCATTATAAGCCCTTAGGCTTACTGCTAATCAACAGGGGTTATATAAATTAGACTGCCACTTCTCTTGCAAAACATCTCCAAGTATAGTAAGGTTCACATGGATTGTTGTAAGGAATTAGGGTTGCTTCAATTTCACAATATTATAAACAATCTTAAATACTTGAGTAATTTCTCAATTTTGACTTCTACCAGTTAGCACAACCATGAAATATTATGTAACAGAACAAACTTGTATCTTGAAAACTATTATACCATTATTTTAATATTACAAAATAAGACTAGAAATCCCATTTAACTCAAAAATTAAATCAGGCCTAATCAGAATATTTTTGGAACCTAAGTAATGATGATTCTAGATTTTAGAAAGTTAAGGTCATTGGAACAGATCCATAGTTTTAAATTAGTTGTCAATCCTATAGTTATTTGTGTTAATATTACTTTTTTTTTTTTTTATAAAAGTTCAAGTTATCACTATTTCTAAAAAATAAACAATTATTTGTACACTGATTTAATTCAACCAATAAAATAATGTGTAGTTATATTTACACATGATGGGAAGATAAGTACTTAAAAAACTAAGAAATTATGTTTCATCTCAAAGATAATCAAGAACATGTTAATAACAGTACAACAGGGTGTAAGCCATGTTTTAATTTGCATGATTTAAATTAAACATTCTTCTTTCAAAACATTAAATATAATTCGACATACAAGTAAAATTCACTGTTTTGATATATCAAGTACTTTTTGCTGTCACAAGATTTTTTCAAAATATTAATCAATGTACTCGCTAGCAATAATTACTATACAAAATGAATTCTTTGCTATAGTCACTTTTACAGATTTCCTGACCTAAGCTTTTGAGAACAACATATTACTTTAATAAGTAATCATGTTGTAAAATATTTTCTCATAAATAATGAAACATGTCTAACAGACAGACAAAACAATTTAGAAGGTGGTAAAAATTATACATATAAAAACAAAATCAAATGTTTGTAAACACACTTGTATATATTTATACTAATTTTAGTGAAAAACTTGCAAGCTTTTTAGCACAAGCATAAATTTTTTGACAAGTGGCCTGATTCAGAAAGGTTTTTTAAAGCTTCAAGGTCCAGTGACAAAAAATTAAAATTATGTGGCCAACAATTTGAAATGATGGATCATAAAACTGCTGATTATACAAAACAAATGTAAAATCATGCAACTTTAACCTAAAGTTAAACTCTATGCCCTGAGGCTTTTACTGAGTATCTTTCATAAAAATGTCTAGCAAATAAAAATATGAATAATTATGAAAACAATCTAAAGAGCAGGTAAAGAATAAGTTTCTAATATTAAGTCAAATGAAGAATATGGAATAGTTAACTAAGTAGAGCATAAAGACCACGAATTCCTTAATAAGAAACCTACATTAACTTTAGTAAACAGAAATGATACAATGATATGCAATTAATCTCACTTGTGTGGCTTCCTGCATAGCTTCTGCAGACCACAAGCCTTGATTGGGCTGGGTTGGCCATGTTCCTAGCTGCTGCGAAAAGTTTCTTTGTGGCCACATGCCACCTTGAGGCCACATTCCCTGCTGCTGCCAAGGGACCATCCCATGTTGCCAAGTTCCACTCACTTGATTTGGCCAACCACTACTGGTTGTCTGCATCATTGGCTGAGCTTGCCATGCCTCGGCTTCTGCACGAAGTCTCTGCAACCTTTCTCTTTCCATGTCATCCAATGGATTAGGCTGAAAAAAACATAACACTTAAAACAAACATTTATCAGGCCTATCAAGTCTCAAAAAAATGAGAAAAAGTCAATGCACAAATCCCCCATTAATATTCTTTTGAACTGTGAACATGCTTTTAATTTAATCCTACGTTGCAAAACTTAGCATCTTGGAAGATTCTCTGTATTTGTAAAATGATCAAGAATACCAAACACCTTGACTGTATTCTGTTTTCTTTTAGAAACATTTCTGCTTTTCTATTTTTCAGTTAACAAACAAGATTTCAAGTTTAATCACAAATCCTTGTATAAACTACTGAACAGAGACCAGAAGTATTTTCCATTGAATAAAATAAAAAATTATAAAACATACATCCAAGAGCTGAATGTAAAACAGCTCTCTTTAAAAGAAAAAAAAACAACTTAGAATAGTAAGCAATAACACATCACACAACCAACCAAAGCTAAATCTGACACTGACCATTCTTCACAGCTCTTAAAGAAAAAACAATTTGTGCAAGTCTAGTGCTTGTAACCAGACTACGAAAATGACAATATTGCATAAATAATTTTCAAGTACTATAATTTTTTAGCTATTTTCAGCTATAATCAAAATCAATTACAACGGTTGTCTATTTATTCTGTATCTTGACCAAAACAATAGAAAGTTAAGCTGTTCACGTTTAATAAAAATATATTTTAATGAATTACACAACATGTTTGTGTCGAAACATTTCTCTAATTTTGAAACTTGGAAAAATACACATCTTTAACATATTTCTTAAAATACCTTTTCACTGCATCTTAAATTAAAATTTCAGTTGTTGAAGTAACTTCAAAAACTTTTGTCTTAAAAGAACAATTTCAATAGAATTATATCCATTTTTGACTAACATGAGAATAACTGGTGTGAAGTCTCTTTACTGTTTTAAGAAGTGCACTTCTTTATACATTTCAGTTTTTAATTTTTTTTCAGTTTAATGTCATCATTATTTTACATAAAGAATGTTATTTTATACAAAGAAAAAGCTACAACAACTGACCACTTACATAAATAAAAAAAAAACTTTCCTAGCTTTATTCTACATAATTTTCCATAAAACTAAGATCTGCATGCAGTGAGTAATTAGTATACTTAGAAAGTCATATTTTAAACCAATGACAGAAGACACTGGTGATAACAGTTTCTTTAAATCATTGTAGCTCAATTATTTTGTGGTATTTAGCCTTCTATCATACAAAGCTTGCCAGAAAACACTTCAGCATAAAATTTCATATAAAACAAACAACCTTACAGTTACTATGTAAATCATACTCCTGTTACTAAATCTGATGCTATATTACCAAGATAAACTTACTAATTTGGCCTTTAATATTTTGAATATTATTACCCATGTCTCATGATTAGTGTTTCAGCAACAGACTTCAACATTTTTTTTATCATAAATGTGAGCTTAAACCTAAAATTATCAATGGGATCCATGAATCCCAGTGATCAGTCAGTTGTTATCTCAATGTTATAACCACCTTTATGTTTCAATGGGATTGACCAACAGTCACATAGGTGGCATTTGCATCTTGAGAGAGACAGTATTATAGAATTTGATATAAAATACTATGATGAATTCTTAAGTTTAGTTTAGTGGATGAAACTTAGAAGGACCAACAAGTCCTTTGTTGTCCTTAAATTCTATGTTATGATATATAGTTTATACCAAATGGTTAGTCAAGCCTGAGAAGGAAGAAAACATTTTAGATTTGTTATTAACTGTTAATTAGGATATGGCTGCACAAGTTGAAGTAGGGGCCAATTAGGATTTGGTTTGTTTTGAATTTCATGCAGAGCTACACAAGGGCTATCTGCACTAGCTGTACCTAATTTAGCAGTGTAAGACTAGACGGAAGGCAGATAGCCATCACCATCCACCACCAACTCTTGGGCTACTCTTTTACCAACGGATAGTTGGATTGGCCAACACATTATAATGCCCCACACTGCTGAAATGCCAAGCATGTTTGGTGGGATGGTGATTCAAACTTGCAACACTCAGACCTGACTAATTAGGGAAAAGTAATCATTGCATAATTAGGTTTGATGCTTTGGTATTAGTTGAGATCAAAATAAATGAAAATTAAGCCCCTAATTTTCAGAAAGTCAATTTGGAGGTCACAAAACAAAATTTATCATTAGTGAATTGAGACAATGAATTAAAAGGTAATGTGAGACAAACCTGGAAAATTTTTAAAAATATATTGCTTTTAATTCAAGATAAACATGTTTTTAAAACAAGGATAACAGGGAGGATCAAACTTATTTGGCTTAAAGACATAAAGGAGAAAATCAAGGATAATAATCATATGTTTAAGAAGTTTAAATTAACAAATAAATTGGAATATTTACATAACTACACATGTAGGGAAGCTGGGGATTTGATTTTAAACAATTAGGAAATCCAAAACAGCTTATAAGAAACAGTTGGCTGACAATGTTAAAACTAAAAACACTTATGATAAGGGTAAGCAAAATCTTAAAATGTGAAATGAATCCTTAAAGAATTCTGGTGGCAATATTTCTGTTGAAGAATATAGGATGGCTGATCTTTTAAACGTTTTCTTTTACATGGGAAGATATTAGCAATGTTTCTGAACGTGAATATTCTCAGGAAATTTTGGGAATAACCAGAATCATGTAGATATTAGTCATTTGGTGGTATGTATAAAGATTGAGAGATTAAAAACAGATAATGCATCAGGGCCAAAGTTTTCCCCCAGGGTTTAGAGGTTAAAGATCAGATATGCAAGTCTATCTCTCTCTCACTCTTGGTAGGTGTCCAAGGACTTGAGAGTTACTTATGTTATTCCTATTTTTACATCAGGGCCAAAGTTTTTCCCCAAGGGTTTAGAGGTTAAAGATCAGATAAGCAAGTCTATCTCTCTTTCACTCTTGGTAGATGTCCAAGAACTTGAGTGTTACTCCTATTTTTACAGTGGTAAGTTCTCTGGAAATTATAAGCCAATTAGCCTTACTTCTGTATTAGGAAAAATTTCAAAACTTTAAAAATCAAACAATAATTTAATGAAATACATCATAAATCAAAGGAAACATAGATTCACTAAAAGGACATTTTGAGTTACTAGCTTTGTTATCTTTTTTCAAGAACTTTACTCATTATATGAACAAGAAAAGGGTGTACACTAGGTGTATTTAGATTTTTAAAAAGGTTTGGATACGATGCTACACAAATTATTAGCTAAGTAAACCACATCAGCAGAAGCTGGGGAATAACTAGTTAACTAGGCTGTAAGGTGGTTAGACAAAAGAAAGGCAACTTATAAAAACTTTCAAACTTTGAAACACCCAATTGTAACCCATTTATATTCAACTTCCTGACTAACATTTTTTAAAGTTTTCAATCCTAAAAGTCTGCAGTCACTCCTCTTTTAAAATGTCTATCACTATTAAGTAACTTACAACTTAGAATATCGAAATAATTCCCATTATCAATAATCTTCAAATACAACCAAGTTTCTTAATTCCCATTATATCATAGTTTTCTATTTCAAGCTTGTCTTGAACTCATCCATTCAATTCCTATATTATACTTCTAACATTACAATAATAGCAACTAAGCTTATTCCTGAATCTGCTGTTTATCTTTAAAGCCATTGTCACTAATTATGCTCTAAATCTCTTATTTCCAAACTCATGTTGCCATAGTTGTTTATCAATTTGTTTATTTCCAATTTCCTTCAGCACTAAGCGAGTTTAGTTTAAACTATCTTTAATAAATAATTTTGAGTTTACAACTTACAAAGTCTGACAAAATTTAATCTTTCTACATTCACTAGTACTGAAATTAACATGATTTCAATAAACTTAACTGATCATCATGACAAATTTATGAATCTTAGGTTTTGGTTGCTTTATAAAAGTGAATATTGTTACAGTGTTTTAACATTAAAAAATAAATAAAAGTGGCACAAGCAAGTGTATGCACTGATAGACCAGAGGAAAGGGAACAGTTCTGTTAATTTATGAAATGCTTAATAATGTTTGATCTTAATTTCCTTAAACAGTTTTTTGTTAGTAAACAAAGCAACCTCCCTGGAGAGAGAATTTCATAATTATACCAGTTTTAATTATTAGCTCCAATTAGAGTTTTATTGAGGCCCAAAATAAGTACAATAGGACAGTATTGTCATTCTTACACCATTCATCTTTGTCTCATCCAAAGGTACCTCTCTCTGTTCAATTCCTGGTGGTAATGGCTCTGGACCCACTGTTTGGTCAGCCAAGGTTGACATCACAGTAACAGGGCCTCCAAGATTCTGATTTTGCATGGCCATGGTTTGTACTGCCCCAGCTCCCATGTTCATTCCCATTCCACCCCACTGTTCTGCTGGACCAGGTGCTTGCCAATTCCACTGCTGTTGCATCATGTTTGGTTGTAACCCAAACTGTCCAGGAAAACCTGGTCCTCCCTGAATAGGGCCAGATGATGCCATTGGACCTTGCACAAATCCTCCAACACCACCACCTCCCATAGGCAGCTGGTTTGGACCCCAGTGCTGCCAGTTTTGAAACATTTTCTCAAAAAATGATATACTATTAGTATTACTAATGAAAATATCCAACAACTTGTTCTAAAATGAAGTGCTGGAAAAATCCAACAACTCGCTTATTCTCAGGCCTATATCTTGTAGAGACTGGGTAAATCAAACTTTAACTTCACTTTATTCCTTTTACAAGTTTTAATACTAACAGGGAAACACTGAGTAACTGCAATTATCTACTACACGATTAATATTTCAAATTATTATCATATTGGGTCCGAACTTAATACACAATAAACTCCAAAATCATTAATTAATGATGACATAATGTGAGTACTTTGCAACTTATTAAAGTGTATGCTTTCAAAACATCTGACATACAAATATTACTCAGCTTGAAACTAATCCCGTTTACAATAGCAATTACAAAAGAACTAATGCTAACATTAGGCCCAGCACCGTTATAATTTCTTGTAACCGCTAGAGGACTAAACACACAGAAATATCCTTTATTTGAAATTAAATTTGACAAAGAAAAACAAAGCTTAACCAGGTTTTGTTCTTATTGTTTTATGTTTAAAAAGTGTCACTTCACACATTTAATTATTTGAGTCAGATGAAATAACAGCTGCATTATACTTTCACAGAAGGTATTTTGTAATATTACACCAGTTTTTTTTTTAAATTCCAGACTTTATATACTCTATTATATAAAGTGTTTGATTTGTTTATTAATTTTTGTTAATTCTTCAGAGAGCCTTTCGGTGGCTCAGCGGTCAGTCAGAGGCCTTATAACACTGAAGATTGGGTTTAGATACCCGCGGTTGGCAGATAGTCCACTGTGTAGCTTTGTGCTCACCAACAAAGAAACAATTATTCAGAGCTTTGTACCCTTTAGCGACAATTATTGCAGCATCATTAAAGTTTATATAACAAGTTTTTATTTCATATAACAAACTTTTCATTTTGTTAAATAAAATATAATAGCTTATGAGTGAAAACAGAGAAGGGTATAGTAATATATCAACTACTCTATATCAGCCACATCCAGTGACGACGAGTCCTTTCACCCACATCCAGGACTGCCGATAAGGGGGTGCAACGGGGGGATTTCCCACTGGCCGGGGTCATCAGGAGCCCCGTACAAAAGCTCGCCAAATTGACTTTTCATAGTGCATTAGAAACTTTGCCATGAAAAAGGCTCGGAAAGTTGCATTTTATAGTTAACTGATATTATGGGGGCCCATATGTTCATGATTACCTCCGGGCCCGGAATATCTCTCGGCGGCCCTGATACCAGGGCTCATCAGGCCGGAGAGGAAACGACATATATATTACATGCCAAAACGCTTAATCATCAACTGTTTCGGTGTGAACTAAATTAATTAGCATTTCTTGAACTTGATTTGAACTACTATAAATTGTAGGCAATGCATGTTAACTTTAAAACTCAGCTTTTGTTTATGTAACCAGTGAATTCTTTCAAAATGGCAGAAAAAAAAATACAGTTTCTTAATTCATATTAGCATAAAATGTTTTTAATGAATTATAGTTGCTAGTTCTCTGAAAGTTTTTTCGTATTAATGATATTTTCAAAATTGGCTTGATCGTCTAGAGTGGATTTTAATTACTAGTTTTTTCTGAATGAAAAGTACATACCGCTGAGCCACTGGAGGGCAAAAAACAAAAATACAAAGAAAACACCAGAACGCAAGATAATTAAATATATCGCATTTAAGGGTGATATCATAAATACTAAATTATATATAACCTATTTGTGTCATGATATAACAAATTAACTAATGTGCAATTAGTGTTTTCGTTTGTTTATTAGCGCAAGCATACTAGTAGTAAAACAATCCAGAGAGAAATGATAACTGAGCCGATATTCGAGGTTTGTACAGTGGGTGGTCACAAGTAAATAGACACTTAATTTTTCGTCAATTTAACTGATTTATGCTTACTAATTTG